GCTCAGAGGGCAAGGTGCCTACTGTGGCAAGCACAAGGCCGAGAGGATAGCTCCAAGGGCAAAATGCCGACTGTGGCAAGCACAAGCACCGGCGTTCAGACCCCGGTACCTGTAAAAGTCAGGCATAGTGGCATGGGTCTGTACCCAGCAGATGGAGGGAGTAGAGACAGCTGAAGCAATGCCTTCTGAATTCATTGAGAAATCCTGTCTCAAAAAATAAGGTAGAAAACAGGCAGGAAGGCACACACCGTTAATCCCAGTACTCGGGAGCCAGAGGCAGGCTGATCTCTGCGAATTCAAAGCCAGTCTGGCCTACATAATGAATTCCAAAACAGCCAGAGCTACATGATGAGACTGATGAGACTCTGTGTCAAAAATACCTAAATAAATAGATAGGTAGGTAGGTAAATAAATAGAGAAATAAGTAGGTAGAGAGTGACACAATCCAGTTCAACTTCTGGCCTCCACATGTGCACACATGCACACACAGAGAAACAGACACACACAGACACACACATTCTAGACATTGCCCACTTTTCTCCGGAAGGGACAAACAATATCCCTGGTAGAGACTCTTCTGAAATTTCTACCACATCCTATTTTTCAAAACAACAAGAACTGAAACTTCTGCCGGGAGCCACTTTTAATCCTAGCACTCAGGAAGCAGAGACAGGCAGATCTCTGAGTCTGAGGCCAGCCTGGGCCTATAGAGCTAGTTCTAGGATAGCCAGGATAGCTACACAGAGAAAACTGTCTAAAAACAAACAAAAACAAACCAAGTGAAAAAATAAATATAAAACTTGATCCACTGCATGAAAGAAAAAGGTCCTTTCATGTCCTGGCTAGGACCCGCCTCATACTGCTTACTAGCCCAGCCAGGTTGCCTGAACAAGTTGGCCTAGGACCAGAGGTCAGACTGCCCTGGGAACACATATACCATATGCATTGTCCCAGCCCAGCTCCCATGTGCCTCAGGCATTCTCATGGACCAACAGCTGAATTAATCACTCCCACTGGCTTCGTGTCCACTCCTACCAGGTAAATATTCTAGGACCTACACACAACAGCCATGCTTTAGAATCTCTTCCTCCATTAACAGAACAAGTACTGGTGCTGTCCCAAGTGATCTATACCGCTAAAGGGGGCTGGGGCACACCTGTTGCCTTGACTCTGATCCCTAACACCATGTAAAAATGCCAAAGTAATCTCAGTCATGGGGGATGGGGTTGAAGACAGGCGGATCCCTGGGGCTTGTCAACTTGGGGTGCCTCAAGGCAGGGAGAAGCCCTGGCTCAAAAACAAGGCTGACAAACCCCAAGGGACTACACCTGAGACTGACGTCTAGCCTACACACACACACACACACACACATACACACACACACACACACACACACACACACACACATGAGATTTTGTATGATCATCCACAGAAGTGTTTTTCTAAGTCTATGATTTTCCTTTAATAAATAGGAATAAAGTGGCATGTACCTATTTTTTAATGGAAGTCAGTTAAACATACCCATAAAAACTGAGGATGTCAAGTTTATGATGGAAGTGTGGAGTGACGGCCCTTTGGCGCTCAGCAGTGTGGGAAAGGTGAACAGGATAAACCCACTCGAACCCGCTGGCCATCCACATCTGTGTGATCTCGGCCTTGTACTGAGAACTGTGAGTGGTAACACGGAAGAGTGGGAGGTAATTTTGACAAGGTACTTATCCTCAGCAGGGTAACTCTAGGTGGCTTACGAGGAGAGGATAAGCATTCTTTAATACAGAAAGTAAAATTAAAAATAGTTTGTAAAGACACCCAGGAACCCACACCAAAGGTGGTCCTGGACTCTGTCTAGGGTGTTGGGTGTATCATGTGGTCTGGCTTCAGGGGCTCCAGGATGAAATGGGGAGCTGGTGCCCCAATAAGCACACTTAGAGAGTGAAACAAGCAGCGTTACTTCTGCCTCCCACTGTCTGACTCTCCTGTCCCGTTTGCTGGGTGAGAAGTCAGGCAA